AAAAAAACCCCCCCCCCCCCCCAAAAAAAAAAAAAAAAAAAAAAACCAAAACAAAAAACAAAAAGGAAAAAAATTCAGTGCATAACTGAGGATAAAAAATCCTAGTGCAACCTAAAACCCAAAATATTTAGGTACTGAGTTCACTCTAAAATGTTATCATTAAGTAGCTGATGATTATAAGGGGTCATGCTTGCAATGGGCGAAATAAGTTATATGACATTGGAGAATCTACAAATTCAATTATTGTTTGTTAGAAGCAACTTAAATATTGATTTTGCAAGATAGCAAGGCATATCATTCTAAGCTTTGAAGAAACTTCCAATTAGAAGTTTCATGCCACTGTATCCATGCAGGAATACTTCAATAAAATCTGTAAAAAATAGTTTTTTTTTCTTAGCTGAACATCTGCCATAATCCCCCAAACCTAAAAAAATCCGCATAAAAAATCATCCATAAAAAGATAAGAATCCAAAGCTGGACCAAATAATTAGGATCTTTTGAATGAAACAGCCCTGATACCCAAAAAGATATCATATAGAACCCTAATTAGGGTTTTCGTAGCTTACCATTGCGGAGGCCGATGCTGGATTCTTCAGTGTTGATGTTGTAGAGAATCCCTTCGTATCTGATCTCGCACTTCGAGGTCAAGCTTATTAGACTCCCGATGTAGGAATCGGGCGAAGGGGACGCCGCCGATCTCGAGGGCTCCGCCGCCGCCATTGACAGAGGTTATCTCTCTTCGATTCGACTCGTTCAAGAGATTTTAGAGAGAGTGAACTTATATTTGGGGAGAGAGAGAGAGATTAGGGATCGAATCTTTAGTTTTGGGAGTTCACAGTGAGAGAGGGGAGATGCGGGCTTGGAGCCTGTCCGTTATCTAGATTTTTTTTTTTAATAATTGTTTTCTTCTTCTTTATGAGGAGGACGGTGGTGTGGTTGGTAATTATTGATGGTGAGCGGCCGATTTATATAATAGGGTCCTTGTTTTTTAGATATTTGTCCCTTATTAATAACTAGTTTGTGCATTAATCCCGCTTTTTTAATATGGCATGATTTGAATTTTTGAAAGTGCTACAGTATCCCGCTCTGCTACTGTACCTTTTAAATGCTACAGTATACCCGTGTGCTACAGTGATATTTTTAATTAACTATTAGCTACAGTAATAATGCTACAATAAATGCTACTGTAGTATTTACTGTAGCATGAACAGTAAATCTATGATCCTCCTATTTGTATAAAGTACTAGATTAAATATGAGTCCATTAAACCTCAGAAATTGCATATTGGGCCCCTCAAATCTTATAGGCTCTATTTAGCAAAGTTTTAAGGCCGAGATATTAAGAAGAAGAGTTAACATAGTTAGTACATTTGATAATCTGAAAAATTATATTGTTAAACCGATAATTAATATTTATACACATCTTACTAGACCGATAAATTATTTCTTAGTTGTAGATTAGACTCACAAGTATTCGTATCTCACGTGTATGCTCTAAGATCATTAAGTGATTTTAAATTAACCCTTTACGATTATAATTCTTCCATATTATAAGCTAGGTTTTTTCTTGATTACTATTATGTCCGCAAGTCTTTACATTTCTAAATAACACCCCCATAGTTAGCCCCTTTGATAATTTGAAGTTATTAAATTTTTTAATCGGTTTGGTTAGGTTATTTTAATGCTTATGGTTATTTTTTGTGTTTGGATTATGACCATTTTCTTTATGAATAGAAAGGTTATCTGTTAACCATTCTAAATAGGTGAATATGTATACCTTTCGTTTCGAGGGGGTTAACTCATTTTAGACCTATTGGAGGAATTTGTGAACCCTTCTATTATTTTTTGTGGTTGGCAAATTATGAGAGATCAACTTAAGTTCACACCATGCGTTAACTTTTTGTGTCTTGCAGGGTAAGAAGTGATAAATTATAAATATGAAGATTATGGGGCCTAACATGCAACTAAGAAAGAATTTAGAGCCTAACAGGACAGAAAGCCAAAATATCTATGTTCCATCAAAAACATGTATAAAACATGATTCTTCATTTTGGTGTTGGTTTGAATCGAACACAAGCTTACCCTGAAAAAGGAAATTCCAACAATGAAATAAGACTAGCCAGGGAGCAGAAAACGAGTTCAAATGAATCTAACCTCAGAATCCAATCTTGTGATTAATTGAACACAAGCTTACCCAAAAAACATGTGAATTTCCAAAAATTAAAGCTCATAATTAATCTGTGAGTACATTTCAAATCAGTATTTAATGGATTACACATGCATGCTTATTCTTTTGCGGATCATTGCAATAAGATACATAAGTTTTATGAACTAATCTACGGGGTAAAAAAATTTAGGAAAAGTGCCTGAACAAGTAATTAAAAACTATAGGTACCGTTTGGCAAAGGGTTAAGTGAGGGGTTAATGAGACTTAACCCCTTCTTAACCTACCAAACACAAAAAATCTATATAAGGGTTAAAGTGAGTTAACCCTCCATAATTTGCCAAACATAAAAAATATAGAAGGGTTAAGTTAACCCCTCTAGAGGGGTTAAAATGAGTTAACCCCTCAAAATGAGGGGTTTACTAATACTCCTATTTAGATGGAATAAGAGTTAACCCTTCTAATTATAAAGAAAATAGTCAAAATCATTGTTATTCCCAAACACTAAAACTGATCATAAGGGCTAAAATAAAACTTATTTAACGGGTTAATAATTTAGTCCTTCGGATTATCAAATGGGCTAAGTACATTAATCCTTCTCTTTAACCCCTCTTCATTAACCCTTTGCCAAACGGGGCCATAAAGAATAAGAATGCATTTGCCGGCATTAAGATTATTAAGATTGATTGGCAGTCTTCAAATCTGCTTAAACCAAACTATATGCGTATGTATCAGAAAGCAAATTATAGTGTACATCAAATGACAGGGGAAGCCTATAAAACTCTTAAAAGCTATATTTTACCAAATATCCAACTGTGTACTCGTATAAACTTAATGATAATAATCAGGATAGTTACCTGTCTTAAAGAAACTGGTAACTACGTAAAGCCAGGGAAAATGTTTCCCTCCCCATAATCTCAGTTCTTCATCTCGTCGAAGCTCGTTCTTTCATCTTAAATCGTCGGTGTATTCAAGAGGAAGAAGCCCTTAAGAACCAAAGGATTAGGTGGCATCGGGAGATAACAAGTTTCCCATCTCGACCAATATTGGCAGAGTTAGGACTCGGTTGTTTCCTCGACAACCCCAATCCTCTCGCTCTTAGAAGCGCGTTCTTCCTCTTCTTTTACCAACTTCCAACCTCATGATATTTATCTACTGCTCAATAGAGAACTACGCTATGAAGACTTGCATGGAGATGTGAGAGGAGCTGAGTTTATATAGAGTAGAGAAGACGGTGGTGGTTTTTAAAATACCACCATAGAGAAACTAGCTAGTGGTTTTTGGAAGATGGGACTGACGTGATATTTCCTGGTCACAGGCCAATGTCAGTTTAGTACGAAATGAATACAGTGAAAAGTGTTATTCATGCTTGAAGGAATCACAAGGCTTGAGAAGGGTCATCACTGTTCACAAGTTATTCAGACGCTCTCCTTAAAGGATTTGTTAATGGTGATTGGTTGTTTTGATCCTTTGAAGGAAAAAATAGAAGCAGAAAGAACATACTTCAAGCCTCTGCAAATTTAGATAAAAATTATCGCTTATGAGGTGCAAAAGTGACATTTAGTAATGAGAGGGTTCTAAAGACACTTGATTTTTACATTTTCAGTTCTAACATCACAAAAGTTTACAGCATAAATCATAATATAGGTGTATAGTTAGTGAATTTACATTTTATTTCGGTACTGTCAATTTTCTGATACTTGTGAAATTTGAGGACCTCTTTGATGTGCAACAGAGTATCTTTGTTATTGTTTAGTAACAATGACTTATCGTAATATAAAAGGATTATCTCTGAAAAGTTTTTTCTTAAAATGTTAACGGTGTTAGTATATGGATATGGAAAAAACAGCTAAAACTAGACTAGATAACTAGGATATAACTAGAATTTATATCGTAACTATAAGCTACGCTGTTTTCCTCAGCAAAATTATCAAACAAAAGACAAAGTGCAATTTCTGAAGTCTGATTATACTATTAATGATTGGTGAAGTCACCAGTATACTAGTATAGTCCTCGCATCCTAATAAAGACAACACGTTAATATGCATAAGTTGATAAATTATTAGCTTCGCTGTGGTATAATCTTCTTGTGACATTATTTCTCTAAAAGTTTTCTTGATACTCTATTCAAATTTGTAAATAGTTGCGGTTGTAAACATCTAAAACCAAGTGGTATACAACATTAAAATATTATACGAAAGGAAAGCACAATCCGCCAATTAGCTGTGAGTTGCAATTAGAGTTGTATACAGAACAGTTGATCACAGTAAAGATATGAGTTGTCTCATTATTTCCTTCTTCCTTGAATTTGTGAGTTCTTTAGCTGCATTTTGCTAGGAGCTTCATTACAAATTTGATGCTCATATGATGAATATTACTCTTGCTGAGTTCTCGGTGTGCAGTATTATGATTATACACACACACATATATGTATCACACACATATATGTATATGAATATGTATATGTATGTATGTATGTATATGAATATTGTTGGATTTTGGACTACTGGATGTTAATCTGATTAATTGAGTAAGAAATTCTTATGTCATCTAATTAGCTAGCCAGGTTGAAGGCTAATGTCTATGGACAAACTTCTCGTTATGCTATTCAAATCCTTGATCACTAATTTCCTGACTGACAGAAAGTGACTATAAGCATAGTTATATGTTTTGAATCAGTTTAACCATTTTATATTCTTTTCTTATTAAGTTTGTTAATAGTTCAGAGCTAAAAAATTTATAAGGCTATAGAAAATGAACTCTGTCAATTAATTGTTCCGAGCTTTCAACTTTCGACATGAATTGACCAAAATGGAGTCTGATGCTACAATATAAACATACAACACCCAGATCAGAAATTGTTTTTTCTTCACTAGAAGAAGATGTCAATAATATGCACATTATCAAGTCTGGTGCTTGAAGATTATGTACAACTCAAGTAAAATTAGTTTAAATGATCTGAAGGAAGTAAGATCAGTGACATATGAGTGAAATTTGAAGTTCGCTTAAACTCGTTATATCTGAAGGAAAGTTTGACCATTCTTCATCTTAACTTGTTGGGGTATTTAAGAGGGAGAAGCCCATAAGAACCAAAGGATTGGGTGGCATCGGAAATAACCAATTACCCATCTCGACCATTATTGACAGAGTTAGGAAATAGTATTTTTCTCTCGACACTCCCAATCCTGCAGCTCTTAGAAGCTCATTCTTCCTCTTCTTTCACCAACTTCAAACTCTCATCATTTCTCTCATCATTCCAAAGATGACACTTGGAGAGAGATGTGAAGGGGCTGGAGTTTATATAGAGCAGAGGACAGGTGGTTTAGAAATACCACCATAGAAAAACTAGTGGTTTTTGAAAGAGGAGCCTCATGTGATCTTGCCGATGTCAGCTTATTGCTGAAAAAGTGATCCCATAGTTCTGGAGATAAAGGTTGATACCTGATCACAAGAAATGAATACAATGATAGTGTTATTTATTGCTTTGCAGGAATCATAGACTGGGGAGGATCATCACTATTCACAAGCTTCCTGTAAGTTTTGTAAAATGATGATTTATTGTTTAGCTGCACTAGTTAAGTAGGAATAATCCCTGAAAATAAGAATATAAGCAGAAGAAAGAAATTCAAGCCTCTGTAGATTTAGATATTAACTATCGCTTATGAGGTGCAAAATTAACATTTGAGATCAAAAGGATTGTAAATACACCTAGTCATTTATGTTTTCAGTTCTAACA